ATGGTAATCAAAGTGCTCCTTCTGAAAACCAGCCCCTGCCAGATGCATCTTGGCTGTGTTTGCCATGAGTTCCTAGGAGACCAACTGCGACGGTGGAAACTAGAGTTCGGACGGCTATTGCCTAGAATGCAAAGGTTCGGAATTTCCGAGACTAAAGTCTGGTTTAAATACCCAGGGGTCTATCCTCGGCTTGAAATCTGTATGGCAGCCCCATAGATTGAGATAGCATGTGAATGCACCTCGATTCTGGATACTGAATCAACCTAGTCTGTCACCCCGTTGGAGAATAGGGAAAGTTGTGAACATGGCCAGTAGGAAAGGTAGTAACCGCGGTTTAGGAGTACAGTCAAGAAAGTGCAAGAAGAACCCACTCTTTTCAGCTCAAAAGGTTTCTGCGGAATTTTCAACTCATCGTCGGTCGGCATGCACGAGGTGTATCCTTTTTGGAATGTATCGTGACCCCTCCGAGAGGTAAATCGGAGGTTGCGTTTGGAAATTGGTCTACTTAAGGCTTGTATTCCCTTATTCGGCATTTTGTTTCAAATATGCATTGTCATGCACATTCCACTTGCATTGTTATGCATCCTTCCACCCGCATTGTTATGCACTTCTCATGCTTGCATTGTGATGCACGTTCCAATTGCATTGTTATGCACCCACTTCACTAGCATTGTTATACCCATTCATTGCATTGATTATGCACATCTATCTCGCATTGTTATGCTCAATTACTTGCATTTTTATGCACCAATTTCACTTGCAATTATCATTCTTTCTCCTCGTGCGTGCGACGGGTTAGACCCTCTTCGGTTAAAAGTGTTCGGAATACGTTCCATTGCTCACACCATTTTGAAACACCGGGATACGTCCTTATGTTTCTCCTCCTTCGGTTAAAAGTGTTCGGAATACGTTCCAATGCTCACACCATTCTGAAATGCCGGGATACGTCCCTATGTTTCTCCCTCTTCGGTTAAAAGCATTTGGAATACGTTCTAATGCTCACACCATCCTGAAACGCCGGGATACGTCCCTATGTTTCTCCCTCTTCGGTTAAAAGCATTTGGAATACATTCCAATGCTCGCACCATCCTGAAACGCCGGGATACGTCCCTATGTTTCTCCCTCCTCAGTCAAAAGTGTTCGGAATACGTTCCAATGCTCATGCCATTCTGAAACGCCGGGATACGTCCTTATGTTTCACATTCCTTGCGGAACACCGGGATACGTCCCTATGGTTCACATTCCTTGCGAAACACCGGGATACGTCCCTATGTTTCTCATTCTTTGCGAAACACCGGGATACGTCCCTATGTTTCTCATTCCTCACAGAACACTGGGATACGTCCCTAACCTCTGGGATACGTCCCTAAAATCTTGGGATACGTCCCTAAAATCTTGGGATACGTCCTTAACCTCTTGGGATACGTCCCTAAACCGGGATACGTCCCTAAACCGGGATACGTCCCTAAACACCGAGATACGTCTCCATGTTTCTTTGCATGATCATAAGTTATGTTCGGCTTCTTGCATTATCAGTTGCATTTTGCCTCTGCCTGCGGGCATGCCTGCGGACACATCTTTATTTATCACGCCTGTTAGTCTAAGTCTTCGGCCTTGTCAAAAATGGGTCGTCTCTAGGCTTTGACATTCACTCCCGTCACTTATGACTTTCGAGTTCTGTCAAAGAGGGGCAACTGTAGACACCCCATTTTTGACCGACCTTAAGACTCAGACATCACAAGTTGAGCGCTCGGTGATACTTCATATTATGCTCGTTTAGAAGTCTCAGAGTCGCGGCCGTGAGCCCTGCCTCCGGATTTCTGAACCTTCTTTTGTGCACTGCCTCGGTTTGCGAACCAGGCTCGGTTTTCTCTGTTTCTTTTCCTGATGGGGGAAAGAGGTCTCGTAGGCCATCTCTCAGTGGCCGTGGGCTACATTTTGTGGCTGTAGGCCATTTTTCCCATTTCGGAGCCCGGTTCTCGGTTTTTTGGAGCCGTCAGGCCGTGTGCCTCGGTTCGGGACCGCTTAACCATCTCTTATTGCTCCGATTTTTGGCGTACTTCCTATTTACTCCCTTTTGAGGGACACTGAGGTCTGAGAGACCCACTTCGTGATCGAGTGCCACTTTCGGTACTCAACAGGCAGTTTTCGGGGCCCCGAACTACGTGTTTTGGCCTCCAAACATTCGTTTTGCATCGGTTTTTGTTCATTTTTGGCAGGTACCTCTGTTTCATCACCAGGAAGGCCGTAGAAGGGTGGGAGGCCAGCAATTGTTTCAGCAACCAGTTATATATCTTCCGGCGCCCTCCGACGCCCGTTTTTCTCACTTCCGAGCCAATGTTGAATACCCTTGGGCCATTTTCCTGAACTCTTAACCACATATTTGTGATGTACACACATGGGAGGATCCTAAAAGTTAGTGGCCGGCCAGTAATTCCACCTGATCCTTTTGAACCCCTTCTAAAAATGGCCTATTCTCTCTCCTGTTTTACAGTTGACAATTTTGAACTACAGGGCTGTGTTGAGGACACCTGGGAGGACACCAATTTGTGGTGGCCGGCCATTAAATCTTCTTGTCCCTTTTGACCCTTGGCCGGCGGCTATGGGAGGTGGCCGGCCGGCCACCTGCAGCTCCAATAAGTGGCCGGCCATGATCCTTGCAACATGTACATTACAGCTATACACTTTTTTTCCTCCAAAAATCTCTATCCGGGGGGACAACTTTTGGGGGAAACTTGGCTTGTTTTCCCCCCCATTTCTTTCCCTCCTTTTCCCCCCTCTTTGGTCTACAAATCTGGCCTCCAACATTGAGAGAGGGGTTACAAAAAATTTCCCCAAGAGCTCTTGCATTATATCCCTCTCCCTCTCTCATTTTCCTTCAAAAAACACTCAAATTCTATCCCATTTTCACACCATCACCTAGCACCACTCCACCACTTCCATTTCCAGAAGCTTGGGGAGCTTTCTAGCAGCTATGAGGCACCAGTTCTCAAGCCAAGAAACAACCAAGGGTTGGTCTCCAAGGGTAAGTACCAATTCCTCATTTTTGAGCTTAATTTTGTAACATTTTTTTAGCTATTTTGCTTACTGTTTTGAGCTCCAACCAAAACTGAAAGTACCCTTTATTTGAGTTCTATTTCATGTTTCATTAAGGGAATTTTGGCATTTGAGGTCCCTATCTTGCAATTGCTTCATTATCCTTCTCATATACCGTTATCTTGCATAGTATTTTTGGCCTATGTGTGATCTGTTTTGGAGCATGATGTAAACTGTAGATAGGCTTATTTTGAGCCCTTATTCAATATTGAAAAAGGGCTCATCACTGTTTGGGACCTCCATATGCCACTTGTCATTATATCCCTCTTTGGTCCCCATTTTTGCATGATCTATTAGCCTATTATGCTTCTGTTTTTGGTCATTTTACAGAACTGAAAATAGTCTTATTTTGACCCCATATTCATGTTTCATTAAGGGTCTTTGCCTGTTTGATGAATGTTTTGCATACTTTGTGTTTTGACCTCTTTTGGGCCCTATCTTGCATGGCATTTTGAGCATACTTGTATACTGATTTAGACTTGGACATCAACTGTAAAATATCATATTTTTGGCCCCTCTTCAATATTGTAGAAGGGCCCTAATCTGTTTGGGGTCAGCAGCTGTGAGTTGTTTCATTATCTCACATTTAGGGCCATTTTTGCATGCTATTTTTTCCCTATTTTTGTTTACTGTTTGGCCATGCTTTGAACTGTAAAAATTCTTGTCTAGGGGCTTCCTTGCTTCTGTCTTTTCATCTCATGTTCAAATTATGCATGCATTGCATAGCTATAGGCCATTTCATGCGCCAAAATCCATGTTTCGGGAGAAATTCCATGCATCGGGTTTCATTTTACCGGGTTTCGGGGCTGTTTTGCATCTCATTTTACCTCTGGTTTTTGCATTATCATATGCCATATTCCATGTCTTTGCCATGTCTCATTAGAGTGGCATTTCGGTGCCTGAGGGTCGGTCCTCGGTTTGCGTGCACGCGTGCACGCATTTCGAGTTGTCTTCCTCAGGCACCGAAATGCCACTCTAATGAGACATGGCAAAGACATGGAATATGCACACTATAATGCAAAAATCAGAGGTAAAATGAGATGCAAAACACCCCCGAAACCCGGTAAAATGAAACCCGATGCA